AGAGATTATAGAGATTCGGTGTAATTTCTTCCTTCGATGTCTCGTAGAATTTACCAGTGAACACACATGAGCCTGGCACTTTCTGTTTTAAGAGCCTTCTAATGATTGATTCAGTGTATTAGATACAGGCCTATTCAGGTTATCTATTTCTTCTTGTGTAAATTTTGGTAGACTGTCTCTCAAGGAACTGGTCCATTTCACCTAGGTTATCAAACTTGTGGACATAGAGTTACTTGTAAAGTTCTTTACTGCCCTTCTAGTGTCCATGGAATCAGTGGCGATAGCCTCTCTTTCATTTCTGATATTAATAGTTTGTGTCTGCTCTCTTTTTTTTCTTAGTTAGCCTGGCTAAAGGTTTGTTGATTTTATTGATCTTTTCAAAGAACCAGCTTTTGGTTTCATTGATTTTTCTTTTTCCCCCTCTATTGATTTCCTGTTTTCAGTCTCATTGATTCCTACTCTAATTTTGATTATTTCTTTTCTTCTGCTTACTTTGGATTTAATTAGCTCTTTTTCTTATTTCATAAAGTAGATGTTTAAATTACTGGTTTTAGATCTTATTTTCTAGGGTATGCATTCAAAGCAGTAATATTCCATCTAAGCACTGCTTTTGCTACATTCCACAAGTTTTAATAAGCTGTATTTTCATTTTCGTTTAGTTCAAAATATTTTAAAATTTCTCTTGAGATGTCTTCTCTGAGCCATGTGTTATTTAAAGTGTGTTGCTTAATCTCCAAGTATTTTGGAATTTACCAGTTGTCTTTCCATTACTGATTTCTAGTTTAATTTCCTTGTTTTCTGACAGCATGTTTTGAATGATTTCAGTTCTTTTAAATTCGTTACAGTGTGTTTTGCGGACCAGTATGTGGACTGAATTTGCCTGAACTGTCTTTCAAGGAGAACGTTCCTAAGGAATCTAGGTCCTACGCATTTGTTCTTAATGAAGCACTTTCCTTTCTTGGTCCTGGCACACTATTTGGACCCGTCTCTTACACAAGAACCTCTGTCTCTGAGCTGTTGCTTACAGAGCTATACCTATAGAGGAAGAGCATATAGAGATTGGTATAAATAATTAAAATAATTTTAATGGCAGTCATTTTATTAGATGGGTTCCCTGGTGGCTCAGTGGTAAAGAATCTGCCTGGCCAATGCAGGAGACGTAGGTTCCATCCCTGGGTTGGAAAGATTCCTTAGAGAAGGAAATGGCAACCCACTCTAGTATTCTTGCCTTTGAAATCTCATGGACAGAGGAACCTGGCAGGCTACAGTCTGTGGGGTTGCGAAAGAGTCAGACCCAACTTAGCCACTCAACAACAATAATAACATTTATTAGACACTTATTGTTTGCTATCACTTTACATGTATTTTTTTCAACGAGTTTTCCAAATAGCCCTGTAAATTGAAAGGATTTTTATTTACTTTTTACAGCTAAGGCAACTGAGATTCAGAGAGATTAATTTACAGAGGCATACAAATATAGGTACTAGCAGGTACTAGCAGGAAGTGTCAAAATCAGGTCCATCTGATTCTGAAGCCCATATTCTCAGAAATCATGTTAAAAACAGGTAACTCATAAGATCCCAGTTCAAGGCAGGCTGTAATCCATGGCCAAAACGGGAGACTGGAAGTTTGCTAAAGGAATATTTGTGTAATGGTGTGCCTTTCATTAGTTTCTCTCCAAAATCGGTATTGCTGACGGTTCTGGTGCCTTTAGCAGTGAGTGAGCGTCCCAGTAGTACTGCTTTCTCAGAACACTGATCTTGAAGTTAAAATGCAGGCTGTGTTTTATCTAACTTGGAGTTTCCCAGCCAGGAGTGATTCTGGTCTCCAGGGAACACTGTTGGTGGTCACAGCTGGGTGTGAAGGGGCGGTGTGCTCCTGGCAACCCAGCAGGAGGCGGCCAGGGCCACTGCTGACCACCCCAGCACACACAGGACCCACCCCATCCCCTAAAGGAAGGCTTACCGACCCAAAATGCCAGTTGCAGATACCAGTTGCGGAGGGTGAGAAACCCTGAGTCTTGGTGCCTTCCATTCTGCTGTGACTGGGAAAACCTTGAGCCCTCACCCTCAACGTTCTGTCAGGGTTTGGTTACCAAGGCTAAGTGCCTCCTCTGTAAATACTTTGCTGTAACTCCGTCCATTAACTCGCTCTGGCACCTTTCCTGTACCTTTAGCTTAGTGGCCGGAGGCCTGTTAAATGGTTGGGTATTTTTTTGTTGTTGTTGTTTTAATAAGGTGATATGTTTTCTTCCTGATGTTTCCAAGAGACAGGCTCAGTTGGCCTGCAGTTCTTAGAGAAGGGAACCTGGTGACGATACTCTCACCTGTTGCTGGCATCTTTAGCTCCCTAATCTGTGTTTACACGGCCCTGAAAATCAACTCTCCAGGTGCCAGGTTCTATTCCACCTCAGCACTCTGGCACCACTGGCAGAGAACACTTCCCCAGTCCCTCCACACAGTGTGACCATGCACGATGATTTTATTGCCCAGCTATTCTCCAGAAGACGTCTCTTGAGGCATGGACGTGCAGGGTACTTCTGGAGCTGTGGGTTGGAGTCTCAGTCATTTGTGTTCCAGTTGCAGATAGAGCCACAGAGCTCTTAAAGCATCTGGTATTTTCTGTAACTGTTTTCCTGTTTGTAGCACTCGTCCTCTCCCCCAGATTTTAAGCTCCTACAATATGGGGTTTGTTTCTTTAGGTTTTTTTTTTTTCCCCCTGTTCTTAGCAACTAGCATTTCTTTCATCATATACCAAGAAAATCAACTCTCCTTCTTCCATTTTGCTTGTCTGATAAAAGTTGGAGAAAATTTTAAGGAACTAAAGTAATTTGAGAGAGATTAGTGGTCAGAGGTTGATGTCAACCAAACCACAGGAACAATTCATAAACTCAGTGGAATTGAGCGTGGGTCCAAGTGAAAGTAAGTAATTCTTTCCTGGGAAGTGGACCTTGGAATTTTAAGAATTATTTTCATTGTCAAGGAAGCCTGGAGAAATCAACAAAATTCCTATTAAGAAAGTCCTATAGGTAGCTTACCCTCCTCGTGACCCAGAGGTTCAGCAAAATTTCCCTAGTCAGATACCATCATTACAGAATTTTCTATAAAGGTTAAAAGCAAAGGCCTGTGTTTACCTCATTGAAGTGATACGCCCCAGGGCCCTCAGTAGGGGTTTGAGGTCAGTGGGCTCTTTGACAGACCACTCAAATGCTGTCTTGCTTAGGCCTTTGGAGAAATCATGACCATTTTGGACTATGTCTTTGAATCTGCAGGATTTTAAGGAATGTATTATTTTGATGGTATTGGCTTATCTAGAACAGTATTTCTCAACCTTTATTTTATCATTACCCTCCGAAGAAGCCTTTTTAGACACTTTTCCCCTAATCAATCCCTCCCATGAAATTTTAATATCACAGATGTGCTGCATATCTGCTCAGATACTGCAGTACTTTGATGGGAACCTGGGGATTGTACTCTCTCAAGATTTTCCCCCTACCCCGAGCTAGTTTTCGCCCCTATAGGGGCAGGACTGCGCATATTGAGGATATGTTAATCCATCGATAGAAGTATCATCATCTTGGAAATGAATTGTTGTTTGTGCCTTTCTTAACAAATTGAAACAGGGACAAGGAGTCTACCAATACACTAATGTTAGAAAGAGTTCTCATGCAGTGGCCTGCAGTTCCTGGGGGAGAGTGAGGAGAGTACTGTTCTCATTTTTCATGACTTGTATGGAGATCATCTTCTCTCTGAACAGTCTTGACCATCTGAGGAAAGAATAGGGAAATACTAGGAGGAGCAGAGCAATAAATGAAGCTCTCTAAAAGGAGAAGGGGAAAAAAAAAAAAAAAAAACTGTTGCAGTGACGTGCATAGGCGGAAAGTGGAAGAATATGGAAGAATCTGGGTGTAGAGTTGTCCATTGTTCCAAGGCCAGTCAGCTCTAACAAGTTCAGTTTCTCAAAATCTGAGTTGATTTGCAGCAGAAAACACCGTTTAGGTTGTATAGCATATACGAACGTTCTATTCTCCCAAGAGGGTTTGGCTTTGTCTGATCAGAAGGGTGGTTGTGTATGAAACACACCTCGGAAGGAGGAGGAGGAAGAAATGACATGTTCATGTAAAATGAAATACAACTGCAAATTAAAGTGTCACCCTGTTTTTAAAAAAAAAAAAATCCATTTTTTATTTAATTGGTTACCAAGGAAAAAAATGTCATACAGAAGCGTATATCTCAGGGAAAGTTAAACCGTGAGATTTTACAAGTGAATCTGGATTCAAGGAAGTTCTCTTGGAGCGGGGGTGGGGCAGGGCAGGAGGGCTGTAAAATATTGCCTTAATAAAAATATTCTGATGCGGAAAAGCTAAGCTCATAAATTTCTGTTGTGTTATATGCCAGGGGTCCAGAAAAAATGAACAAATATTACCTCATTTGTTCTTTACTGTCTCTGTCTATCCAGTCAGCTGAATGCTAGCTGCCTGTTCCCTGGAGGAAGCCTCTCCTTTTGAGATGTTTTCCTGGGAGGAAGGTCATATGCAAAGGAGGTGCTTTCTCTTGAAGAGCGCCGCTCATCACAGAGACATCCAGGGACTGAATGCTTTTCTGTGGGGCCTCTCTGTGTTCATGGTGTCCTCTCATTTTTCATGTTTCTTTCCAACATTTTATGAAAACATTTGTCTTTTCAGATTGTCTCTTTAAGCCTACCAGACAGTATGTTGCCACATTGGTGCCACTCAGTCAGTGTTAAGTAATAGTGGAAAGGGAGGCTGATTAATATAACATAACGTAATATGGGATTATATTTACAAGCAGAATTGTTCTTGAGAAATATGTCTGGTTTCTCTTTGAGAGAGAGACTTGACAATAGGACTTGTCAGCTGTCTTCAGCTTCAGCATCTGCCTTTTCTCCCTCTCCTACTGACCCCAGTTTTGCCTCATGTTTGACGTGGAAACATGAAGATAGATCTATAACGTGCTCTCCTTGTCTTCTCCCCCACCCAGGGGCAGTGATTGGTGATGGACAGTCTGCAGTGGCCAGTAACATTGCCAATACTACCTACCGGCTCCAGTGGTGGGACTTCACTAAGTTTGACCTCCCAGAAATCAGTAATGGTAAGCCAAAGTAGAACTGGGGATACTGGTGGAAAGTCTGTGTTAACTGGTGAGCCAGATCTCAGAGATCCGCAACAGCACTGGATTTTTCATCACCTCATTGAGTGGCTGACGGCTCCATGCCATTTCTGCAGCTCTTCTCGGGCTCTCACTAAGCAATTCAGCAAATGTCTATTGAGCACCCACCCTGAGCAGTGAACAGTACTGAAGTGGACACCAAAATGGAGATTTCTGCCCCAGGACTTTACCAGTGAGCATTCATTGTCTCACGCCTATAAGTTGGGTGGAACTGAGAGAAAGAGAAGGTGAAGGGAGTACAAGAGCTGAGAGCTAGACCCTTGAGGAAAGACTGCAGTGATGATAAACTCGTTTATTTATTAATCTAGATCCGAATGGAACAGAGGGAGGGGCCTGATTGATGTGTGATTTGCAGAATGTCTGTCTGACAGTCCGTTTCCCAGCTTCTAAAGGAGTCCACAATCCCATGTCCCAGTAGTTCAGTTGGAATCACAGCATCTTAGACATCTCATTTCATGTTCTGTCTAATGATGCAGTCTCACACATTCCTGAGAAGTGGAGGGTCAGCCTCTGCTTGAACACTTGCAGTGATAGGTCCCTGTCTGGTGAGTTAACTCTAGCCGGTCACTGCTCGGTTCCTTTTCAGATGTTTTTTCTTATACGCGGGACCATCTCCCTTGCTGTCAACTCCCTCCCATTGGTCCTGGGTCTGCCTCTCAACCTCTGCAGAATAAGTGTGATGATGTCTCTTCTGACTGACAGTCCTCCAGCTGTCTGAAAGTAAACTGCCACTTCCCTTTAAATTGTTCTTTTTAGGCCAGAATTCCTGAGGTTCCTTCTAAGATCTGGTTTTCAAATCCTTGACAGTTCTGCTCGTTTCCCTTCTTAGGTTTGCGGAGGGGCAGGACAAGGTAGAACGCTGCAGACGAGAGCTGTCTAGAACAGCACAGTGGTGGTTTGGACAGTGTTAGTTCAGCCTGGCGTTTCAGCAGCCTTTTCCGAAGCCACTGCTGGGCTTGCAGCCACTTGTAATTCCTTGATAATTGTTAATACCAGAACTCTACCATCGTATACTTACTTGTGCAGTTCAAATGTTTTAAAAACTAAAGGAGTTATATCTGTTTCTGTTAAGTTTTATCTTAATAGTGTACTAATAATTGTACTTCTTAGTTCCTGCCTCTCAACATCTTTTCAAACTTTGATTCAGTCCTTTTTTCCCAACCTTGCTTACATCATCTTCTAATTTGATAAACATCTTTTCTCTGTCTTACTTTGGATTGCCAGCAAAAGTGGTGCATCAGGACTTTGCACCAAGCCTGGTGGTATGTTCCTGTGGACTTCCTTTGTGTTGATTTTGGTTCATGAATTTGCACCTGGGCTTGGTTGGTCACTCGTGAAACCCATATTTTTCATCATGTCTACAGGGTATTGTGAGAGTTTGTCACATACTTTGAAATACTCAAGGTAGCCTCTGCCTGTGGCATTTCCCAGTATGCCAGTCTTGGTATCCTTATGAGACCATAAAAATGAGGTCAATTTTTCTTGTCCTGATGTAAGTGAAACCTCAGTAGCAATCATTTTCTTCCCAAGTGCTTTTAAGCCACATGTTCAATAATCTGTTCTTTAACTCCACTAGAAATCAAATGCAATCTACCTTTTCCCTTGTTAAATACCATTAGCTTGTTTACCTCTCTATTTCTGGCCTGGATCTTATTTGCCGTAATTTTCCCCAGATACTTTGTTTCTTCATTCTGTTTGTTTTATTTTTTTTATTACAGTCTGAAATATATTTACCAAAGATTTTTAAAATATAAAAGGATATACAGTGAAAAGTTTCCCAACGGTGCTCCCAGCTACACACCTCTCCACCCCATAGGCACAGTTAGCAGTTTCCTGTTTATCTTTTCAAAGATATTATATATATGTATATGCAAATTATGTTTTTCCAGCTCTATCTAAGCTAAGTGGTAGCATATTATACCCCTTGGAAGGAAAACCGTGACAAACCTAGACCGCATATTAAGAAGCAGAGACGTCCCTTTGCTGACAAAGGTCCATGTGTGGTCAAAGCTCTGGTTTTTCCAGCAGTCATGTACTGATGTCGGAGTTGGACCATAAAGAAAGCCGAGGGTCGAAGAATTGACGGTTTTGAACTGTGGTGCTGGAGAAGACTCTTGAGAGTCCGTTGGACATCAAGGAGATCAAACTAGTCAATCCTAAAGGAAAGCAACCCTGAATATTCACTGAAAGGACTGATGCTGAAGCCCCGATACTTCAGCCACCTGATGCAAAGAGCTGACTCATTGGAAAAGACCCCGATGCTGGGAAAGAGTGAAGGCAAAAGAAGACGGGGTTGGCAGAGGATGAAATGTTTAGACAGCATCACTGACTCAATGGACGTGAATCTGAGCAAACTCTGGGAGACAGTGAGGGACAGGGGAGCCTGTGTGCTGCAGTCCATGGGGTCGCAAGGAGTTGAAGAGCACTTAGTGACTGAACAACAGCAACAAAGCACGTTATACACACTTTTCTCTCTGTTCTTTGCTTTCTTTATATCTTGATGATCTTTCTGTATCAGTATGTCGTTTATTCATTCTTTATTGACTGCCTAGCATCCCACTGCCCAAGTGAAATCTCTGGATTACTTTTTGTTGTTGTTGCGCTGGGTATTCGTTGCGGTGTGGGCTCCTCTCTCGTTGCAGAGAGCGGGGGCTCCTCCCTTGCAGTGCGCGGGCTTCTTATTGCAGCAGCTTCTCTTGCTGTGGAGCACGGGCCCTAGGCACCTGGGCTCGGTAGCTGCGGCCCCCCGGGCTCTAGAGAAGCAGCTCCGTAGCTGTGGCTCAGGAGCTCAGTCCCTCCAGGACACGAGGGGTCTTCCCGGATCAGGAGTCAAACCCATGTCTCCTGCGTTGGTAGGCAGATCCTTAACCTCTGGAACCAGCAGGGAAGTCCCACTAGATTCCATTGTTTAACCAGTGTTCTGCTGAGGAACTTTAAGCTGTTTCAGTCTTACACTATGCAAACTGTGCTGCGGTTTGTCATTTTACACAAGTGCAAGAATATCATAGGATAAATTCCTAGAAATGGAATTGTAGGGAGGAAGAATATGTAGATTCGTGATTTTGGTAGGTACTGCTAAACCACCCTCTGTGGGGAGAGCATACCAATTTATATTCTCACCTATGGTTCATGAGCGTGCATGTTTCCTTAAATTCTTGTTTTTAGATTATTCTGTCATATTTTAGAGTATTTGCAGAATTTGTATTTCTCGTATTATAAGGTAGGTTGTATAGCTCTTCATACATTTAGCCACATGTGTTTCCTTTTCTCGGCTTGTTTGTGGGCTCACCTGTGTGTGTGTGTGTGTGTGTGCGTATGTGTGTATTTGTGTGTGTGTCTGTGTGTTTGTGTGTGTCTGTGTGGTGCGTGTGTGTGTATCTGTGTGTTTGTGTGTGTCTGTGTTTGTGTGTGTGTGTGCACGCGCGCGTGCGTTGCTGGTCTTTTCCTTATCAGTTCTACAGGAGCTCTTTATAAATCAGAAAATTAACTCATAGGAGGAGTTTCCTGGTTGTCACTTGTCTTTTGTCTCTGCTGAAGGTTATTTTTGTCATAAGACTTATTTTAAGTAGTCAGAATTATCCAACTTTCCTTTTATGGTTCCTAGATTTTGCAGCAGCATCCAGAAGATCAGATAGTACTTTTATATTTTAATTTTTTCCTTTAAATCTTTGATTCATCAGAAGGTTAACCCAGTCCAAAATAAACAGAGTATGACCCAGCTTTTCTCCCATGTGGCTGCTCATTTGTCCCAGCCAGTATACAAAATGATTCATTTGTCCCCATTGATTCGGGATGTCACTTTTATCCTATTAGTATCCTGTGAGTATATAGATGTATTTCTCCTGTCTTTTCTGCCCCAGGAATCTGTCTGATTATTCATGTAACAGTGTCACATTGGTTTAAGTTTGAGGCTCTGTCTTTTAGTATCTGGTAGGACTGGTCTTCCTTTGTTATTTTTTAATCCAAAATTTCCTGCCTGCTTGAACATTTTGATCATCTGTATGGACTTTAAAACTACCTCCTTCTTACCTTCACCGCCCTGAAAAAATCCTGTCAGTGTAATTAATGTGATCCCATTGAATATATAAAATAACTTAAGGAGACTCAGTATTTTTGTGGTATCTTATTATGTAAGAACATGGCATGATTTTCTGTCTCTCCAAGTCTCTCTTATGTTCTTAAGTTTTCTTCATGTAATTTTATACATTTTCAAAGTTCATTGTTAAAAGCTTTTTTAAAAATTCTGCTGTTTTACTGCATTTGTTTACTAATTATAGTTGTTATTCAGTTTAATCTCTGGGTATGTTATTGGTAAATGGTATTAATTTTACCTTCTCCATTTCAACTTGTACACCTGTGATTTTTTCTTCTTGTCTAAGTGCATTGGCTGCTACAATCAGAACAGTGTTAAATAATAGCAGGCATCCTCATATCATTCCTGATTTCAGTAGGAAACATCTAGCTTTTTCCCAGTATGCATAGTTAACTTTTGGGTTAAACCAGAACTAGTTTATCATTTTAAGGACGCCATCTATTCTTGTACATGTGTGCGTGCTAAGTCGCTTTAATCGTGTTCAACTCTTTGCAACCAAATGGACTGTAGCCTGCCAGGGTTCTCTGTCCATATGATTCTCCAGGCAGGAATACTGGAGTGGGTTGCCATGCCCTCCTCCAGGGGATCTTCCCCACCCAGGGATCAAACCCGCATCTCCTACAACTCCAGCATTGCAGGCAGATTCTTTACCGCTGAGCCACCGGGGAAGCCCCTATTTATTCTTATTTTATTGTTAATTTTTATCAAGAATAGAGACTGGGAATTCCCTGGTGGTCCAGTGGTTAGGACTTAATGCTTTCACTTCCTGAAGTCCAGGTTCAACCCCTGGTTGGGGAACTAAGATCCTATAAGCTGCGTAACCAAAAAA